CGCGCTCGTGGCTGACGAAGTCGATCCTCCGTGCTACAAAAGGGTTGTGGGTCAAAAAACCGGTACTCAAAATGGAACCCTGGTAAGTGGAAACATGGACCAAAACCCGCGTAACCCCTCCTGTTCAATTTTGAGCCACAGCCATATGGTTGTGGGTCAAAAATGGGGCAACCTCAAAATGGAACCCTGGTAAATGGAAATAAGGACTGAAACCTGCGGTGTCCTAGTGGTTCAATGTTGACCCATACCCATACATGGGTGTTGGGATGTTAGGCTGTGGCTCAAACAGTTGGAGACCAAAAATGGCACCAAAAGGCAAATGGAACCAAAGACTAAAACCCGCGGTTGGTTGCAGCTCTTTAATTTTGAGCCATACCCATATGCTTTGTTTACAAAGACAATTTTGCAACCCTCTCCACCTGGATCCTCGATCTTCCGTTCAACATGTAATGTGAATGCAATATTTACTGGCAAAAACCTGTTCCTTTCGTACCCTCCAACAGACTCCTACCATGTTTACCTTGTGCTGGAACTATGCTGCCCAGTTCAATTTGTTAGCATTTGTTGTCATCATTGCCTTCGCCGCTGCTGCTGTTGCTGCTGTTGCTGCTGTTGCTGCTGTTGCTGCTGTTGCTGCTGTTGCTGCTGTTGCTGCTGTTGCTGCTGTTGCTGCTGCTGCTGCTGCTGCTGCTGCTGCTGCTGCTGCTGCTGCTGCTGCTGCTGCTGCTGTTTTTGCTTCTACTTTTTCAGGTTGTTTTTGCTTTCGCTGCTGTCTTTGCCGATGCGGCTACTGTTGTTGTTGTTGTTGTTGTTGTTGTTGTTGTTGTTGTTGTTGTTGTTGTTGTTGTTGTTGTTGTTGTTGTTGTTGTTGTTGTTGTTGTTGTTGTCGTTGTCGTTGTCGTTGTCGTTGTCGTTGCTGCTGCTGCTGCTGCTGGCGTTGTCGTTTCCACGAAGGCATTGCTCTGGTTGAATTTCACTCCACAACTTGGCATCCAAAAGAAAGGAATTACGGGAGCGGTCGCACAGCCATGCAAGGTGGCTATCAAGTGCCCAGATTTGGAAGGCATATGAAGGCCAACATCATCAAATGGGAATGCTGGCACTTTGCAGACAAGTTGAGATATGGCTGTGGCTCAAACTTAAAGAGCTAGGGCCAACCGCAGGTTTTAGTCTTTGGTTCCATTTGCTTTTTGGGGCCATTGCTTCTCCATCTTTTTGAGCCACAGCCTAACATCCCAACACCCTCAAACCTACATCCCCCAATCCACAGCCATACCGTGGATGGACAAAATCCTGCACCACCTAAGAAACCCTGGAATGATGAGCTAAATGCCAGTAAACAATGGTTTCCCATGATGTCCAAGCGGTGCAGGATTTCGTCCATCCAGCGTATGATTCTCTGAGCGCAACACGTCAAGTTCTCAGCCCCTGAGAATCTCCTTTTTGCCCGCCAAGGCGCCGTGACAAGTCCAGGTCGCCGATCTCCTGCGGAGTTTTTGATCGCCGAGCAGACTCGTGGGTGGTCAAATTGCCCTTAAGACATGAAGCGTTGCGCGGTGCTTCGATTTTTTTCGTGGGTTCCCTTTTTGGTCGGTGTTAAAGGGAAAAAAGAGCGGACACGAAACTCACCGTTTTGGGGGGTCCCCCCAAAAAAGACGCAGCCATACGTGATTTCAGGTACTGATGTATCTTTTTGGAGGAACCCAAAAAAGGTGTGAGGTTCTCCTGTAGAGCTTTGGCTAAAGAGTGGCATGAGTTCAAACTGGTTGGACATCCACGGACACTATTATATAATGGGTACAACCCATTTTCGAAAAGGGTCAGCCTCCTTTGGGTGTATTCTTTTGGCTGCGAAGCAAGGGACCGCTTGCTAAGATTCGTCCGCAGGTTCCTTGTAAGCTGATGTTTTAGCAAGAGAAATGCCGCAAATTCCTGCAATCTCTGTCTGAAAGTCTGAGGGTATGCCTGGAAACCGCCAAGTTAACATTGCAGGTTGTTTGATCTGCAGGCAACATGTGCGGGGCACAGCTGTACACCTGTCGGTGGCTCGGTACGCGGATTTGTAATCTGCTGTCCGGGTACATTGCTCAAAGGGCGGCACAATCCGAGGAGCGAGTTTGGAATAGAGTGAACTCATGGAAAAGGAGCCAAAGTATTCAACACAGCAGGAACATGCTGCTTTAGATTAATATGTCATGTGTTTCCATAGTTATGCCAACAGTCGTGCAAAACTGAGCGTCACTGTGGCCCCCTATTTCCAAATGCCAGCTTCCCCTTTCTCCCACCCAAAACTCAGATCCCTCACTCAACATCCCAGGGATGCCTTCCAATTCCATTCTTTCCAGGGATCCGAATCTTTTCAGGAAACCATCAAAAACCCAGGGGAAACGGATCCGGTTTTTGAAAAGAACGATGGTTGAAAAGAATGGACAAGGAATCAAACCCTCACTCAACATCCCATCCGCGGCTCAAAAGATGCGCGCCTTTGCTTCCTCTCGATCCTTCCGCTGGCCCTGCCGAGGAAACGGTCTTAAATGTGGGTGTGTCTGTGTGTGTGGCTGTGTCTGTACTTTTGAATGGACCCTTTTTGGGTGGCGGATTGAAAGGGAAATCAGAGGAAACCACTCAATTAGGGGGAGGGAATCCTAATGAGACAAACACACTTGCCCATGGGCCGGGTTTCTCCTGAACCAACCTGAAGAGTACAAGACAAAAGACAAACCGAATCAAGTTTTGAGAGGCCTCCTACATAGGCGCACCATGAGCATGCCGCGCTTCTTCGAATCCATTCGTCCGGCCAGGCCAAAATTGGGCACAGGCAAAACAAAGAAGAAGAAGGCACGAGGACATGGATTCCAATCCAAAATCTCGAGACCAGGGAATAAACCTCGGGGTTTTGGAAAACCGTTTTGGGGGATTGTTTATGTAGGAACCCACCAGTTGGGGTTCGAAAGGCCACTTTTTCTCGCGGCCCAGGCCGCCGGAGTTTTTTGGGGTTGGCACCTCTCGTTTGGTGGGGTTGAAGGCTAGGTCGCCTCCAGTAGAGAGGCGACAATTTTTGCCAACCTTTTTTTGAAGATTTTATTCAATTTCTGATTTTACAAATTGAGGTTAGAATAAGGGTGCCGACTGTTTTCCGGGCGTCGATTTTAGTAGGGGAACCCTCCCGACCAAAAGAGGGGAGAGAAGGGCACTACTGGGGGACCTAGAAGGGAAGGCAATCCACTTTGAAGGTTCCCCCCATTACACCCATGTGTATGGCATCACAACATGACATGGACAACTCCACATGCACGTCACCCGCAAGGTTGTGATGAAAATCTGCACCTGACCCCCGGCTCTACCCCGGGCGAGCAGGCTTCTCTTTGGAGAAACTGGCATATTTCAAAACGGTCTCCTACACATTGAGGCTGGACTCTCAAATCACACTTTGAAAATGGGATAGCCAAAAAAATATCGGGTGGAGGTCATGAAAGGGTGCCCTTTGCTAAAGAGTGTCCGTGCCCGTTTGAAGATTGCTCAAAGGACACCTCATCAAAGTGTTTTCACGTTTGCAACAAACGGTTTGACTTACCACTTCTGCCAACTCACAAAGGCTCGCTTTCTGAGCGGATGGGCCAAAAAAAGCCCGAACTGTTCATTCACCACTAAAATACCTTACGTTCTGGGATTGGCTCGGGACATGTACAGGAACTGTACCACAAATGAGCGCACCCAACGCTCGAGGTATCCAGGTGCAGTAAAAAAAAAAAAAACCTTGGGGCGGGCTTTGTGGAAAGGATGTTCACAGAACCCGCCAATTGAAAGTAACCAAGAGAAGGGGTTGTCTTCTTTCAGGGGACCCTAAAGACCAAATTGCTGGGTTCCTTTTGGTTGCTCCTTTGAACGACCACCAACCCTTCAAAAAAGACGAGCCGCCCAAAAGACCCAAGGAGCCAACTCCAACGCGGGGAAACTGCAGCAACACTCGGGGGAAAGGGCTGGTTGAGAATTGATGCTTGAAAATGGAAAAACCGAATCAAGCCCTAGAAGTTATGACCAAGCTGAAAACTCAAAGATATGGGACCCATATGTGGTTGCACCGGAAAGCCTTGCAATGTGTCTTTTGCGGCTACGAAAACCCAAGGTTGGCACAAAGGACACCAAAAGGAAAACCGCCAGGTTGTTGTTCTTTTTGGGGGGAAGGTTCCCTATTTTGACACAAGCCTCAAGTTGTGCCATCCTTTAAACAAAAAACCAAGTGTTGGCAGAAGCAGTCACGGAAGGCTGGAATATTTGCACAGGTTGACCCCATGTCTCCACTCCTAGCTCCTTAGCTCCCTCGGCGAGCTTACGCTTCTAAAAATTTAGACGAAAATTTATGAAACCCGAAAAGGACCCAACAAAACAACAAGTCCGCTTTAGAGGAGAACCTCCTTTTTTGGGACCCCCCCCAAAAAAAACAAATTTCTAGAGGGCAACCTCTTCGTTTCGGGGAACCTCCCGCCAGGGGCTTTTGAAACCATAAAACAAATGGTAAAACGGTGGAAAAAAACAGGTTCTTGTCTAACAACCTATTTTAGGTTGGCAAATTTCAGAATCAAGCTCCAAATCCCTATTCTTGGGCTCCCCCTCTTCTTTGTGGGGGACCTCCACGTTGTGGTTGGCTTCCATATTTAGGTCCTCCAGTAGGGAGGTTAGAATAAGGGTACCTTTTTCTGTCGTCTATTTTAGTAGGGGAACCCAACGAAAAAACAAAAGGTGAGAAAGGGCACCTAGCTGGGGGACCTCGCCTCTTTTGGTGGATTTAAAGGAAAGGCAATCCACTTTGAGGGTTCCCCAATTTTCAAGACACCCATATGTATCGCATCAAAACATGACGTGGTAAAAGGGCACTAACTGCTGGGGGACTTAGATATTTGCCATGGGAGATCCCATCCGGCTCCGCGGCTCCGCGGCTCCGCGGCACCGCGGCTCCGCGGCTCCGCGGCTCCGCGTGCGCGCCTCGGCCTCCACTCGGCTCAGGAGCTCGCTGATGCCGCTGTTGCGCCGCACCTGCCCAGCGAAAAATCCGCGAAGTTCGAAGCGCCACAGAAGAAGGAAGCCATGGGCTTAAAGCCATGGTTTGTATGGCTGAAGCAATGGTTTGTATGCTTGAAACCACGGTTTGCATGGCTGAAGCCGTGGTTTGCATGATGGAAACCATGGTTTGTATGCTTGAAACCATGCTTTTTATCGGTGAGCATGGTTTGTATGGCTGCAACCATGGTTTGTATGGCTGAAGCCGTGGTTTGCATGATTGAAACCATGCTTTGTATGGGTGAAGCAATGGTTTGTATTGCTGGAACCATGGTTTGTATGGTTGAAGCAATGGTTTGTATGCTTGAAACCACGGTTTGCATGGCTGAAGCCGTGGTTTGTATGATTGAAACCATGGTTTGTATGCTTGAAACCATGCCTTTTATCGGTGAGCATGGTTTGTATGGCTGCAACCATGGTTTGTATGGCTGAAGCCGTGGTTTGCATGATTGAAACCATGCTTTGTATGGGTGAAGCAATGGTTTGTATTGCTGGAACCATGGTTTGTATGGCTGAAGCAATGGTTTGTATGCTTGAAACCACGGTTTGCATGGCTGAAGCCGTGGTTTGTATGATAAACCATGGTTTGTATGCTTGAAACCATGCTTTTTATCGGTGAGCATGGTTTGTATGGCTCAAACCATGGTTTGTATGGCTGAAGCCGTGGTTTGTATGATTGAAACCATGGTTTGTATGCTTGAAACCATGGTTTGTATGCTTGGAACCATGGTTTGTATGGGTGAAGCAATGGTTTGTATGGCTGCAACCATGGTTTGTATGGCTGAAGCCGTGGTTTGCATGATTGAAACCATGCTTTGTATGGGTGAAGCAATGGGTTGTATTGCTGGAACCATGGTTTGTATGGCTGAAGCAATGGTTTGTATGCTTGAAACCACGGTTTGCACGGCTGAAGCCGTGGTTTGTATGATTGAAACCATGGTTTGTATGCTTGAAACCATGCTTTGTATCGGTGAGCATGGTTTGTATGGCTGAAACCATGGTTTGTGTGGCTGAAGCCGTGGTTTGTATGCTTGAAACCATATGCTTGAAACCATAGTTTGTATGCTTGGAACCATGGTTTGTATGGGTGAAGCAATGGTTTGTATGGCTGCAACCATGGTTTGTATGGCTGAAGCCGTGGTTTGCATGATTGAAACCATGCTTTGTATGGGTGAAGCAATGGTTTGTATGGCTGGAACCATGGTTTGTATGGCTGAAGCCGTGGTTTGTATGCTTGAAACCATGGTTTGTATGGCTGAAGCCGTGGTTTGAGGCCGTGGTTCGTATGCTTGAAACTATGGTTTGAATGGCTGAAGCCGTGGTTTGTATGCTTGAAACCATGGTTTATATGGCTGAAGTCGTGGTTTGTATGCAAGCCGTGGTTTGTATGCTTGCAACCGTGGTTTGTACGGCTGAAGCCGTGGTTTGCATGATTGAAACCATCATTTCTCTGGCTGAAGCCGTGGTTTGTATCCTTGAAACCATGGTTTGCATGGCTGAAGCCGTGGTTTGTATGGGTAAAGCAATGGTTTGTATGGGTAAAAACCGTGATTTGTATGGCTGTAGCCGTGTATGCTTGAAACCATGATTTGTATGGGTGAAGCAATGTGTCGCTGAAGCCGTGGTTTCTATACTTTTCATGTTTTGTATGGGTGATGGAATGGTATGCTTATGCTAAAACCATGGTTTGCATGGCTAAAGCCGTGGTTTGCACGCTTGAAACCATGGTTTGTATGCTCAAAACCATGGTTTGTATAGGTAAAGCAATGGTTTGTATGGCTAAAACTGGCTTGGTTGTATGGCTGAAACGTTTGTATGGCTGAAGCCGTGGTTTGTATGCTTGAAACCATGGTTTGTATGGCTGAAGCCGTGGTTTGTATGCTTGAAACCATGGTTTGTGTATGCTTGAAACCATGGTTTGCATTGGTGAAGCAATGGTTTGTATGCCATAGTTTGTGTGGCTGAAGCCGTGGTTTGTGTGCTTGAAACCATGGTTTGTATGGCCGAAGCCGTGGTTTGTATGCTTGAATCCATGGTTTGAGTGCTGAAGCTGTGGTTTGTATGCTTGAAACCATGGTTTGTGAATGCTTGAAACCATGGTTTGTATGGCTGAAGCCGTGATTTGCACGCTTGAAGCCATAGTTTGTGGCGCTGAAGCCGTGGATTTTATGCTTGAAACCATGGTTTGTATGGATGAAGCCGTTTATGCTTGAAACCATGATTTGTATGGGTGAAGCAATGTGTGCCTGTGTGCTTGGAGCCATAGTTTGCGTGGCTGAAGCCGTGGTTTGTATGTTTGTGTGGCTGAAGCCGTGATTTGTATGCTTGAAGCCATAGTTTGTATGGCTGAAGCCGTGGATTGTATGCTTCAAACCATGGTTTGTATGGCACAAGCCGTAGCGTGGTTTGTATGCTTGAAGCCATAGTTTGTTTGGCTTGTATGGCTGAAGCCGTGGCTTGTATGGCTCAAACGGTTTGTATGGCTGAAGCCGTGGGTTGTTTGCTGAAACTATGGTTTGTATGGCTGAATCCATGGTTTGTACGCTTGAAACCATGGCTTGAAGCCATAGTTTGTATGGCTGCCGTGGTTTGTATGCTTGAAACCATGGTTTGTATGGCTGAAGCCGTGGTTTGTATGCTTGAAAGCATGGTTTGTGTGGCTGAAGCCGTAGTTTGTTTGCTTGAAGCCATAGATTGTATGAGACCATAGTTTGTGTGGCTGTTGCCGTGGTTTGCTTGAAACCATGGTTTGTATGGCTGAAGCCGTGGTTTGTATGATTGAAACCATGGTTTGTATGGCTGAAGCCGTGGTTTGTATGCTTGAAACCATAGTTTGTATGGCTGGTTTGTATGCTTCAAACCATGTATGGCTGAAGCCGTGGTTTGTAGGCTTAAAGCCATAGTTTGCATGGCTGAAGCCGTGGTTTGCATGCTTGAAGCCATAGTTTGTGTGGCTGAAGCCGTGGTTTGTAGGATTTGAAACCATGGTTTGTATGGCTGAAGCCGTGGTTTGTATGCGTGAAGCCATAGTTTGTTGTGGTTGAAGCCATGGTTTGTATGCTTGAAACCATGGTTTGTATGCTTGAAACCATGACGTTGGTGGGTATTTTCAGTGAATAATCTGAAACCACACTGCGGAGGGCTGCGAAATTTCTAACAAACCCCAAATGGTTCGATTCCCTTGTAAATACCAACAACGGCTTCCCATGGTTGCAACGTGGTGCAAGATTTTGTCGATCCGCAGTAGGTTTCTCTATGTTTCCCGGACCAAGGGGAAGCCACGAGCCCACTTGGATTTGCGGAGATGCGCGCCAGTTGTGAGTGAAAGGGGGAATACTGGGATTTCACACGCCTTCCCACACACTAGCATAGAACCTCAATGTTTTATAGAGGCCCCTAAAAAATATCTCAAAAACCATGTATCAGATGCCCCCTGGTTCTAAGTTGCTGTGTAAGAGATACAGTACGTCTTGTTCATTCCCTGATTCTACTTCTCTTCTGTTTTGCCTTTTGTTCTCTCTCTCTCTCTCTCTCTCTCTCTCTCTCTCTCTCCTTACATCAAGAACAAACCTGTTCTAACACGGCCCCTTGATTGGGGTAGAGCCTCAAACATCGAACTCGAAATCATGGCACCCTTCAGGACCTTGAAAGGAGCGGAACCCGACCAGATGTGCTCCAAGTTGTCCCGCGCGGGTGTTCTTTCATGAAAGCCGGCCTTGCGTGTCCGTTCGGAAAAGAGGATGAATCCACTGGCAATCTCGACATGCCCGGTTTTGCAAGCCGACTGCCAGCCAATACCTGGAAAGGCACCCACAAGGATTGCCCAAAAGGCACCTCGGATTTTTGTGAGGCTCCTCCTTCCAAAACCCTCTGATTGAAAGGTTTTTGTTCCGGCCCAATATCCAAACACATACCAACAAAACATGTCTTAAACTACAAAAAGCTACTAAGCTTGCCAATGCTAACTCCAACCATAGTTTCAAGGGTTGCTATTCCAGAAATCAAGGAAGCTAGCCGGAAACAGCAATCATTGCAGTTTGTGTAAATTAAAGGACCGGATAACCCCACATGCTATGTTTTTCCCAAGGATGTGAGTTCAAATGTCCACGCACGCTCGCCATGCGCCTTTGTGGCGTTCGATCGGCATCTTTAGCCAAGCGAACACGTCTCACACAACGATTCTGCCATGCGATCGAACTGCTCAACATTCTTCTGCAAACTTCTGACAACACTTCTGCAATCTTCTGCCAACTTCTGACAAAACTTCTGCAAAATATAAGTTCGTGACCCTGGACACAAAGCTTCTGCGAGCCCAATCTCAACATCCAACAGCTTGCCTCACAATGCACCCTGCCTCATGTACTCACAGCTCTGCACTTACACAAGCCTTGTAGACGACCCTTTAGACATCCGAGAAGTGTGAGTGAGTGTGAGTATGAATGCGAGCGAATGAGTGACAAAATGCTGCCCCTGCCACACAAACACACACCCAGATGCACAGAATGCTGCGCCTGCCACGACTTCGGCAATGGCATCTCCACACCCAGATGCAGAATGCAGCGCCTGCCACGACTTCGGCAACGGCATCGCCAAAGTGCTGCGCCTGCCACGATTTCGCACGCCCCCCGCCGCGCGCGCGACAACATCCTGTCCCTCTAGACAGCTGCCGAATGCGACCCCTGCCACACAAACACACACCCAGATGCACAGAATGCTGCGCCTGCCACGACTTCGGCAACGGCATCGCCAAAGTGCTGCGCCTGCCACGATTTCGCACGCCCCCCCCGCCGCGCTCGCGCCAACATCCTGTCCCCTGGCACACAAACACACACCCAGATGCACAGAATGCTGCGCCTGCCACGATTTCGCAACGGCATCGCCAAAGTGCTGCGCCTGCCACGATTTCGCACACCCCCCGCCGCGCGCGCGACAACATCCTGTCCCTCTAGACAGCTGCCGAATGCGACCCCTGCCACACAAACACACACCCAGATGCACAGAATGCTGCGCCTGCCACGACTTCGGCAACGGCATCGCCAAAGTGCTGCGCCTGCCACGATTTCGCAACGGCATCGCCAAAGTGCTGCGCCTGCCACGATTTCGCACGCCCCCCGCCGCGCGCGCGACAACATCCTGTCCCTCTAGACAGCTGCCGAATGCGACCCCTGCCACACAAACACACACCCAGATGCACAGAATGCTGCGCCTGCCACGACTTCGGCAACGGCATCGCCAAAGTGCTGCGCCTGCCACGATTTCGCAACGGCATCGCCAAAGTGCTGCGCCTGCCACGATTTCGCACGCCCCCCGCCGCGCGCGCGACAACATCCTGTCCCTCTAGACAGCTGCCGAATGCGACCCCTGCCACACAAACACACACCCAGATGCACAGAATGCTGCGCCTGCCACGACTTCGGCAACGGCATCGCCAAAGTGCTGCGCCTGCCACGATTTCGCAACGGCATCGCCAAAGTGCTGCGCCTGCCACGATTTCGCACGCCCCCCGCCGCGCGCGCGACAACATCCTGTCCCTCTAGACAGCTGCCGAATGCGACCCCTGCCACACAAACACACACCCAGATGCACAGAATGCTGCGCCTGCCACGACTTCGGCAACGGCATCGCCAAAGTGCTGCGCCTGCCACGATTTCGCAACGGCATCGCCAAAGTGCTGCGCCTGCCACGATTTCGCACGCCCCCCGCCGCGCGCGCGACAACATCCTGTCCCTCTAGACAGCTGCCGAATGCGACCCCTGCCACACAAACACACACCCAGATGCACAGAATGCTGCGCCTGCCACGACTTCGGCAACGGCATCGCCAAAGTGCTGCGCCTGCCACGATTTCGCAACGGCATCGCCAAAGTGCTGCGCCTGCCACGATTTCGCACGCCCCCCGCCGCGCGCGCGACAACATCCTGTCCCTCTAGACAGTGTGAGTGAGTGAGTGTGAGTGAGTGAGTGAGCGAGTGAGTGAGTGAGTGAGTGAATGAGAGTGAGTGAATGAGAGTGAGTGTGAGTGAGTGAGTGTGAGTGAGCGTGAGTGAGTGAGTGTGAGTGAGCGTGAGTGAGTGTGAGTGAGTGTGAGTGAGTGAGTGTGAGTGAGTGTGAGTGAGTGAGTGTGAGTGAGTGTGAGTGACTGAGTGAGTGAGTGAGCGAGTGTGAGTGAGTGAGTGTGAGTTGAGTGAGTGTGAGTTGAGTGAGTGAGAGTGAGTGAGTGAGTGAGACGGAGACGAGCGGGAGGAGGAGGAGGAGACGCGGCGCGCGGACGACGAGCGGAAAAAGTAAGAACCCCACACAAAGATGTGGGGAAACACAAGGTTTGACAAGCTTGCAGAGTGTACCCCTCCCCCCCGGTCCCCCCTCAACGCTGGCCCCTGCCCCCCGAATAACACAAAACCCCCTCTGATTCATCCTGGCCCTCTCCCGTCTTGGAAAGCAAGAAACGCAACTTCCTTTTACTTTCCTATTGCGTCCTATTGGCACAGAAAAGGATGGAGAAGACTGGCCAGGTCCCGACTAATCCGAGGGGGGCCAGGGGGGCCCTCCAAAATCCCGTTGTCACACGGGCGGGTTCTTAATCATGTTCCCCCGTGAAATAAAGTGGAACCAAACTGAAACCAATGGGGACATCTCGTACGCGAAAGTGGTTCCTGGGGCAACCTACTGTGGGTGAACATCCAAGCGCTTTGCACCCATTCACTTCGGCGAAGCGAGCTGCGAGCGCCTGCTGTTTGGGCGCAGCTTTGGCAGCCTTAGGCGCAGCCTTTGCGGCCTGCGGTGAAGCTGGGTTCCACATGGCAGCTTCTCGGCCGACGGGTTTGCCTTTGGTTGAGGGTTGGGGGTTGTGTTGAATGGCAACCGAAAGGGAAACTACCCATTTCGGGGTTCCCTATTTGGTTGGAGACAAGCCCATGTCTCCAGCAAATTGAGATTGAACCCAGAAAGAAAAACCAAATCTCCAAAAGGACGGTCACTTTGTCACTTCTGTCTGTTGCATATTGATTTGCAAGGGAGGCAAAAAAAATCAAAGTCTCAAACTATGCCGCACAGTCCGAAGACTTTGGCTTAAAGGTTCACCTGTCCAAGCCTTGGCATCGAAGACTTTTTCACCCTCCAAGCAGAGACCCGATACATGTTTGGCCAACGAGTGCTTCCCCAGTCTCCAAAGTCTCATGGGAGGAGCAAAACAAACTCGTGAAGGGATCTGGTGAGCCAACTGAACAAGTCAACCATGGAGCAAGTGACAACAAGGCACTCAGATCCCCTGCTAAAAGTGCCCCCCCACTAAAATCTGAAAAGCTCGAAAGCAAAGGGGATGGTGGGAACCGCGCCTTAGAACCAGCATGTCCCAAGACTCAGACATGGAAAACCCGCAGCTCATCACGGAACGGGAGCGACAATCCCGCCCCCCTCGCCCCCAACCCCCCGGGTGTTCAGCTCACTTCATGGTGTTCATGGCTCACCTTAAAGGAGCTTCGTGTCACTGTATGTGTGCTCTACTTGACTGTGCATCAAACCAAAGGTAGTTGGATTGCTATTTGGAGGAGGTTTGTGTCTGGTTCTGGTTGAGCTGCAAGAGAGCCCTAACATTTCCCCCCGCAACTCAGCTTCCCTCTAATTGTTGTTTTGATTGGTGGTGTAGTGGGTCGGGGTTGCTTTCCCATTTGCTCTCTACAAACACCAGTGGTTCAAATCGCCAGTTCCCACCAGTCCAGACCACCGATTAAGGGGAACCTGAGCAACTCGTCCCAGGGAAAGTCGACCAACAAGTAAGCGCACAGAATATCCCCAACCGCCAAGTAAGCTCCTCAACCGCCCAAAGGAACCCCCGAAACCCGCAAGGAACCCTCCCGAATCACCCCAGAAGGGTATTTGGGCAAACAAAACCCAGGGCCAGCGAAGCAAATTCCGGGTTCGCACGAATCCAAACCACCAACTGAGGGTGTGGTGTTTCCGTGCAAAGTGGGTTCCCATTGACCCTCCACAAGAACCATGGGGTCAAATTCCCAGTTCCCACTAATCCAAATCACCGTCCCAGGGACAGTCGACCAAAAAACAACAAAGATTCGACGCGGTTCGCCTTGGGCAAAGGTGGGCCTTTGCCCTTGCCCTTGGCCTGGCTCAAATCAGATCTGGGAATGGGTTTATTGGGGGAATACAACGCTCCCTAGGGGCCTAGGGGTGTGTCTTTTTTGGGAGTTGGTACCCCTTGTTTGGTTTTGAAAGGGACACCAAAGCGAAACCATCCATTTTGAAGTAAGGTGTCCTCTCAACCCAAGCGAAGTGGCAGAGACGAATTCGCAATCGATTTGGGGACTTTGTCGTCCTTCCCAGGCAAATGGGGTCTGCACTATATACAGTTGGCATGCGGGTCAAAGCCACAACAAGACTTCTTTTCACTGATCCCTACAAAATGTCTTTCCACTTGCCGCTTCATGACCATGCAGGATGTGGCGCTCTACCTCCCATGAGAAAATTCGGTGGTCATGGTTCGCAGGAATGCCCGGAAACAAAAGGGAAGCAGTGCGAGTAGTACTGGACAACTGGAACTGACTGGCAACGCAAACATAAAGGTGGTGCACCTCAAATAGATCAACCCTTAGCCCTCGGTTGAACTTACAGGAATTTGCTTTTCAGTGCAAATCCTTCGTCTTGGCTGCACCCGACTTACTTCCTGGGCTGGGCACAAATACAAGCTGCTCTTGGAAACCCCTGCAAACAGATCCGTTCCAAGAAAACTAAAATCCGGTGACTCCTGAAGGATTTCTTACCCTCGCTACTTGACCCCCAAATTCATCCGCAAACATGAAGGGACCCGACCAGAAGTATGCGCGCCATGGGAATTCCTGGCCCTAGCACCCTGTTCAGCCCTTCTGGCCTTGGCTTTGGCGTCTTTGGCAAGCCCATCTGCGTCTGCCTTGACAGATTGTGTCTGGACAGCTTGCCGGAGTTCAGAAACCCGCAACGATGACCCCCCAAGTAAGCCACCTTCATCTTTGGAGAGATAGTTTCCCCCTGTGAAATGTATAGTGGCTGCCTTTCCACATGCTCCGAAAGCCCCCTATTGTTCGATCTTCCGCAAACGGCCGAGTTGGTAACCTGGTACTGAAACACCAAAGCGACACGTCACCACTTCACTTCTTATCACATGCCAAAAGCCATCTGCTTCTGCCATCCGCGCCGGATACACTGAGATACTCGGAGTCCATCCAAATGGGACCGTGTTGATCCTGCCCACCAAAGGACCCAACACCAGTTAAATGAGGATGACTGGATAATACCTCAAGTGCACTTGCTGCCCCTTTTGGGCCTGATATACCCGTGGAACCCAGCTGTGCCCACAAAGGGACCATTCGGTGGATGGACGAAATGCATTTGGACCAACTAAGAAAGCATGGTTGAAACTTGAAACATTTGCTTGTTGATATCATTTACAGGAAAAAAACATCGTTCCTGTGTTTTCAGGTGGTGCAGGATTTGCTCCATCCACATATGCACTTCAGCGAGGGATGCCAAAAGCGACAGCACAACTCTAGCCTGGACACATCTCAAGCCGCATCATCCTCAACCAGCCACATCCTCCATTTGTGTTTTCGCCGCCTGGCAAAATGTCCAGTAGTGATAGATTCCAACTTTAAAACCAAAAGGGGAAAAGAAAGCATATTCTTTTCAGCAAATGGAAGACAATCAACGCTGAGCAGCCCTCACCAGTTCTGAGCAATCCCCAAAAGCCTGAGCATGTGATTAATCTCATGCATCAACCTCATTCAACCTCAACCCACCCTACCTCTACTTGGATGCTCAATCCAATTATGTATTTGTGTGGGACTGTGGCATTCGCATGCCCTGACTGAAATCAATCTACCTTCAATGAAACTCAATCCATTATATATATATATATCGTTTGAATGCCATAATATACCATGGTATATTTGAGCACATTTGAAGGCGCCTACTGACCTGGGCTGCCCTCCGATCCCCTAAACAAAGCCCAAGGTTTCGTTTAAGTGGGAAACCAACCACCGCAAAACCGACTAAAAGCCAAAAGACTAAGGAACCGGATGTGTTGAACATCCAAGTGACCAAATGGGTTGAACATCCAAGTTACCCCATGACAAATGCGTCCGATACGAAACGGGGTGCCTGCAGGAAGTAATCCCAGTCCTGCGCTCTTGGCAAGTGAGGTCGAAAATTCGCCAAGAGTGTCGGGTTGAAAAGGACGGGGGGTCAATCTAATCAAGTCAACCAAGTTTACCACAGCAATCCAGCAACCAAACAAATCAACTAAACAACCAAACAATCCATCAATAAAAACAAAAGACACCAACTAATAAACCGACCAACCAACGAATCACTCACTCTGTCGACCAGTCAACCAACCAACCAACCAACCAACCAGTCAATCAGTCAGTCAATCAGCCAGCCAGCCGGCCAATCCGTCAGTTAGTCGGCAAGCCAGCCAGTCAGTCCAAAAACGCAATCAAGTCAATCAATGAAGTTGAGAATCAATGAACCAACCCGTCAACCAATCCAATCAGTCCAACCAATCCATCCATGCATTAATCAACCAATCAATGAAGCACACATGAATGCACTCAATGGATCAACTCAATAACTCAAATCAAGTCAATGCAGGCTCAACAAACCAAACAACTCACAGCAAAGCCATGCAATCAAGCAAAACAAGCCATCAACCACGCAAACAAGCAAGCCATATTCACTAAATAGACCAAACAAAAACATGGGCACCATCAACAACAGTCGCAAGTGTGACACATGTGGAAACACAAACACATAAAATGATAATGCGTACAAGCAAACACATGCGCAAAAACACACCCAACCGCATGGACACAAAAAAAACAAAACAAAAACAAGCAAACACGCAAAGAACCAAGCAAACAAACAAGCAAACAAGCAGACAAACAAACAAACAAACAAGCAAGCAAGCAAACCAAACAAGCAATTAATCTTGGTGAATTATAATATTTCACCAACCTGAAGCAAGGTGGTTGGGGGAATATTCCCCACATGAACCACCATTCCCCACATGAACCACCATTTGGGGTGAGGTCGTGTGAGGTCGTTATAATTCACCCAGATAAATAAGAAAGCAAAGAACACATAAACAATAAAACAATCAAACAAACAAACAAACAAACAAACAAACAAACACACAAACAAACACACAAACAAACAAGAAAGCAATCAAGCACTGAAACAATCCATTGAACAAACATAGCGAACAATATAAACAACACTTCAGCAACTCGACACATAGAGATGGAGGCAACCTGTCCACCAAATAACACGTCTGTCATGTGCACAGTCAGTCAAAGCAAAGCGGCACCAAACTGAATACACGAAACAACAGTGTCAACTGAAGCTTAAGCACACAGGTGCAACAGTGTGACCAGCCGGCATGTCGAACGCTTTCCAACCACATGGGCAACATGTTAACCTCAACCAGACATTTGGAGTCCAGAAAGGAGCCTCCATGGAGGCTCGGTGTATCGGGCGAGTCTGCTCCTCCTCAGGTTCATCGGCTTCATGTTGGACCTGCGCTCTCGCAAGTGACAGGAGTGCAGTGCCTGTGCCCAAGGAATCGACAGCAAGCCTTCGGACGTTTTGCGATACATGGGCAAAGTCATCAAATTTACATGGGACCCACAAAAGGGGCCGAAAAAGATGCGTTTACAAATGATGGTTGGGTGCCATGAAAAAACCTGCCTCCCGCCGCTGCCGGTATTGCCTCTGAAGCCAACACCAGCAGCCGTGTCCCATACATTTATATATATATATATACATACTCCACCGGACACCGGTGACTTTCCTGGGAACTGCGAACAGCCATCGTCTTTCTTGGTTTTTGACCCCTTTCAGTCCAAAATGCTTAACATGGCATCTCGTTGGCTTGGTTTCAGGATTGTTTGAAGGCCAACTCCTGGATGTGATTTGGTGAACATGGCCTTTTAGAGAGTCTGTTATTAGGGTATAGCACCACCCCACATAAATGCCATGTATATATATATATGTATAGAGATATTGGCTCTGGGTGCAAATGGCTTGGGTATTGTGGGGTTCAGCGGGTATGTGCAGTTGAGCAGTTGAACAAGTTATCGGATGATGACTTGGTAGTAAACTGCCACAGCTCACTGCTAAACAAAAAACAAAAACACCTCGCTCGTACGTGGGCCGAAAATGGACGGTGTTAGGTAGCTTCTTTAGAAACCTTTGGCAGCCGGGGAAGACCTTGGTTGCCAATCCTAAGCCGTTTGCCGTTCAAAAAAAACTCACCTGCTCTCAGCGCAGGTTCAGCTTTGTCCACCGGCTGGACCCATGTCGCAGAGATGGGCACACACACTGTTTTGCATGAGCCATTTGTTTCACCTTCTTTAAATGGCAAACCAAAAGGAAGTGGATTAAACACAATTGGCTTGAGCACTTGAGCATGTGGGTGCGTCTTTGTCGGGGTCTCAGGGAAACCGATTGGGCACTTCCCATTGCTGCGCGTTTTGAGGTTCACCACGGGACGGCGCAAGCCGCCTGGAGGGAATTAAACCCACCCAACTTTGGTGCAGCTAGATCTTATACTGTCCGTACTAACCGTTACTCCATACGATTGCCACAAACTGGGCTGTTTAAAATGGAGTGCTGGCCAATCCCTAGCCATAACTTCTATTGGGAAATACAAAAAGGACCACTTTCGATTTACGAAAGGTCAGGGTAACAAATTGCCTTTGAACAGCCCAGCAAAAGGTTCCCTTTTCATGTTGGTTGATGAATGGCCCCTACTAGCCATTCATTGTGGTTTCCTGTAAGGGAATCCTCAGGTTCATTCCCTCTTTCCCTACTACTGAGCACCAGCAAGACAACTATTTCTTGGAGGTCCGATTCCAATTTTGAGAAGAAAAACCCTTGTCCAAACTCTGACCCCCTTCGCATCTGCAGAGCATTGCCTACTGCAGCCAACTGCGGACGACATCCCAAGGTCGCTTCGCCCTTCTGCTACTTTTGGCTTTTAACGAGCAAGCGGCCGCAGGACGACATGATGGCACGTGATCCCGCTCCCCGAGGCCGTTGCCTGCTAACCACTTGAGACCTCCACTTGAGCATCGCCCATGCCCCAAACACAGACCCTACTTGGCCTCCGGTTGAGAAGATCCTGCCACGTCAGCCGGTGGGACTACCTGCAGGCAGGCAGGGCGCCGGGTGTACCAAATGCAACTCGCGCGCGCGAAGACGTGGTTCGCGGCAAGCGACCCAACCAACGCGACGCCTGATCTCATACAGTCACTGACCATGCTGCACATGAAGCAACGCCTCCTCTGGCGTTGCTGGTGTGGCTTCCACAGGCACCGATGCCTGCAACGTCTGACCGACTGCAACAGAAAGACCACCCTCACACACCAAGTCCAAACTCTGGCAACAAAGGCCAACGCCTCAGGCTTGCCCTCAATCGATCAGATGCAGCACCCACAGTTAGGCCAAAGAAATCGTTCAATATCCAGAGCAAAAATCGATCCTGCCTCTGGTCTCACAAGGTCGGCTTCGCCCGCCGCAGCTTGAGCTACCTGGCGGAGCACATTCCAGCAGCATGACAAAGAACCTACCGCCACTACAAAGTTGCATGGTTCATCATGCTTTGATGTGATGCAACAAGAAGCCGTTGCTTTGGACAGGTTGGAGCTGCGTGCTTCATTTGAGAAACCTGACTGCAACCAATTGAAGACGACACCCAAAGGTCGTTTCGTCTCTTGTGCTGGCTCTTCTCTTGACAGCGCCAACGGGGCCAGTACCTGCTGCTACTTGAGGAGGTCTGGCATTCAACCAGCAAGCGCCCGCACGACGATATGACGGCACATGAAGGCAGTTGCTTGCTATGCATGGTTTGGACCGCAAAACCACTTAAGACCTCCACTTAAGCATTGCCCATGCCCCAAACACCGACACTTCGTGGCCTCTGATGGTTGGGAAGATCCAGCCACGTCAACCGGTGGGACCACCTGCAGGCAGGCAACAGGGCGCATGGTGTACCGAACAAAACTGCCGTGCCAAGACAGGATGCACAACAAATATGCAACGCGACACCTCATCTCATAAAGAAATTGATCATGCTGCACATGAAGCAACGCCTCCTCTGGCGTTGCTGGTGTGGCTTCCACAGGCACCGACGCCTGCAACGTCTGACCGACTGCAACAGAAAGACCACCCTCGCACAGCAAGTCCAAACTGTGGCAATAAAGGCCAACGCCTCAGGCTAGCCCTCAATCGACCAAATGCATCACCCACTGTAAGGCCAAAGATTGCCAAAGATATCGTTCAATATCCAGAGCAAAAATCGATCCTGCCTCTGGTCTCACCAGGTCGGCTTCGCCCGCCGCAGCTTGAGCTACCTGGCGGCACAACATTCCAACAAGCTTACCACCACATGATGCCTTGAAGTCATGCAACCAGAAGCCGTTGCTTTGGACTGCGTCCTTCACTTGAGAAACCTGACTGCAACCAATTGAAAACGACACCCAAAGATCGTTTCGTCTCTTCTGCTGGCTCTTCTCTTGACAGCGCCAACGGGGCCAGTACCTGCTGCTACTTGAGGAGGTCTGGCATTCAACCAGCAAGCGCCCGCACGACGATATGACGGCACATGCAGGCAGTTGCTTGCTATGCATGGTTTGGACCGCAAAACCACTTAACACCTACACTTAAGCATTGCCCATGCCCCAAATACCGACACTTCGTGGCCTCTGATGGTTGGGAAGATCCAGCCACGTCAACCGGTGGGACCACCTGCAGGCAGGCAACAGGGCGCATGGTGTACCGAACAAAACTGCCGTGCGAAGACAGGATGCACAATTTCCAACGCGACACCTAATCTCACACAATAATAGACCATGCTGCACATGAAGCAACGCCTCCTCTGGCGTTGCTGGTGTGGCTTCCACAGGCACCTCTGCCTGCAACGTCTGACCGACTGCAACAGAAAGACCACCCTCGCACAGCAAGTCCAAACTCTGGCAATAAAGGCCAACGCCTCCCTCAATCGACCAAATAAGGCCAAAGATATCGTTCAATATCCAGAGCAAAAATCGATCCTGCCTCTGGTCTCACAAGGTCGGCTTCGCCCGCCGCAGCTTGAGCTACCTGGCGGCGCACATTCCAGCAGCATGACAAAGAGCCTACCGCCACTACAAAGTTGCAAGGTTCATCATAATTTAAAGTGATGCAACAAGAAGCCGTTGCTTTGGACAGGTTGGAGCTGCGTGCTTCATTTGAGAAACCTGACTGCAACCAATCGAAGAGGACATCCAAGGGTCGTTTCGTCTCTTCTGCTGGCTATGAAGCAACGCCTCCTCTGGCGTTGTTGGTGTGGCTTCCACAGGCACCTCTGCCTGCAACGTCTGACCGACTGCAACAGAAAGACCACCCTCGCACAGCAAGTCCAAACTCTGGCAATAAAGGCCAACGCCTCAGGCTAGCCCTCAATCGACCAAATGCACCACCCACTGTAAGGCCAAAGATATCGTTCAATATCCAAAGCAATGATCGATCCTGCCTCTGGTCTCACAAGGTCGGCTTCGCTCGCCGCAGCTTGAGCTACCTGGCGGAACAACCTTCCAACAAGCTTACCACCACATGATGCCTTGAAGTGATGCAACCAGAAGTCGTTGCTTTGGACTGGTTGGGACTGCGTGCTTCATGTCAGAAGCCTGACTGCAACCAATTGTGGACGACATCCAAAGGCTGTTTCGTCTCTTCTGCTGGAGAAGGAGAAGGAGAAGGAGAAGGAGAAGGAGAAGGAGAAGGAGAAGGAGAAGGAGAAGGAGAAGGAGAAGGAGAAGGAGAAGGAGAAGGAGAAGGAGAAGGAGAAGGAGAAGGAGAAGGAGGAGGAGGAGGAGAAGGAGAAGGAGAAGGAGAAGGAGAAGGAGAAGGAGAAGGAGAAGGAGAAGTCTCTTGACAGCGCCAACAGGGCCAGTACCTGCTGCTACTTAAGGAGGTCTGGCATTCAACGAGCAAGCGCCCGAACGACAATATGACGGCACATGAAGGCAGTTGCTTGCTATGCATGGTTTGGACCGCAAAACCACTTAAGACCTCCACTTAAGCATTGCCCATGCCCCAAACACCGACACTTCGTGGCCTCTGATGGTTGGGAAGATCCAGCCACGTCAACCGGTGGGACCACCTGCAGGCAGGCAACAGGGCGCATGGTGTACCGAACAAAACTCCCGTGCGAAGACAGGATGCACAATTTCCAACGCAACACCTGATCTCACACAATAATAGACCATGCTGCACATAAAGCAACGCCTCCTCTGGCGTTGCTGGTGTGGCCTCCACAGGCACCGACGCCTGCAACGTCTGACCAACTGCAACAGAAAGACCACCCTCGCACAGCAAGTCCAAACTCTGGCAATAAAGGCCAACGCCTCAGGCTAGCCCTCAATCGACCAAATGCATCACCCACTGTAAGGCCAAAGATATCGTTCAATATCCAGAGCAAAAATCGATTTTGCCTCTGGTCTCACAAGGTCGGCTTCGCCCGCCGTAGCTTGAGCAACCTGGCGGCACAACATTCCAACAAGCTTACCACCACATGATGCCTTGAAGTCATGCAACCAGAAGCCGTTGCTTTGGACAGGTTGGAGCTGCGTGCTTCACTTGAGAAACCTGACTGCAACCAATTGAAGACGACACCCAAAGGGCGTTTCGTCTCTTCTGCTGGATCTTCTCTTGACAGCGCCAACAGGGCCAGTACCTGCTGCTACCTGAGGAGGTCTGGCATTCAACCAGCAAGCGCCCGCACGACGATATGACGGCACATGAAGGCAGTTGCTTGCTATGCATGGTTTGGACCGCAAAACCACTTAAGACCTCCACTTAAGCATTGCCCATGCCCCAAACACCGACACTTCGTGGCCTCTGATGGTTGGGAAGATCCAGCCACGTCAACCGGTGGGACCACCTGCAGGCAGGCAACAGGGCGCATGGTGTACCGAACAAAACTCCCGTGCGAAGACAGGATGCATAGCAAATATCCAACGCGACACCTGATCTCATAAAGAAATTGATCATGCTGCACATGAAGCAACGCCTCCTCTGGCGTTGCTGGTGTGGCTTCCACAGGCACCGATGCCTGCAACGTCTGTGACCGACTGCAACAGAAAGACCACCCTCGCATAGCAAGTCCAAACTCTGGCAATAAAGGCCAACGCCTCAGGCTAGCCCTCAATCGACCAAATGCACCACCCACTGTAAGGCCAAAGATTCCCAAAGATATCGTTCAATATCCAGAGCAAAAAAAACAAAAAAAAACAAAAACGATCCTGCCTCTGGTCTCACAAGGTCGGCTTCGCCCGCCGCAGCTTGAGCTGCCTGGCGGCACCAAGCTACCACCACATGATGCCTTGAAGTGTTGCCAGAAGTCGTTGCTTTGGACTGGTTGGGACTGCGTGCTTCATGTGAGAAACCTGACTGCACCCGATTGTGGACGACATCCAAAGGTCGCTTCGCCTGTTCTGCTGCTGGCTCTTCTCTTGACGGCGCCGATGGGGACGGTGCCTGCTGCTACTTCCGGCATTGAAACAGCAAGCAGCCGCACGACAATATGATGGCACATGATCCCGCTCCCCGCAAGGAGGCGGTTGCTTGTTCTGCCTGGTTTGGACCGCGACCACTCAAGACCTCCACTTGAGCATCGCCCATGCCCCCCAAACACCGACACTACTTGGCCTCCGCTGTTTGAGAAGATCCAGCCACGTCAGCCGGTGGGACAACCTGCAGGCATGCAGCAGGGCGCTTGGTGTACCAAATGCAAATCGCGCTCGCGAAGACGTGATTCGCGGCGAATGATACAACGCCATCTGATCTCATAAAGAAATTGACCACAGGCACCGATGACTGCAACGTCTGACCAACTGCAACAGAAAGACCACCCTCACACACCAAGTCCAAACTCTGGCAACAAAGGCCAACGCCTTAGGCTTGCCCTCAATCGACCAGATGCAGCACCACAGTTAGGCCAAAGACATCGTTCAATATGCAGAGCTAAGATCCTTCCTGCCTCTGGTCTCACCAGGTCGGCTACGCCAGCCGAAGGTTCGGCTACCTGGCGGCACAAGATTTCAGCAAGGCTACCGTTGCAAAGTTGCATGGCGCATGATGCATCGAATTGAGGCAACCAGAAGCTGTTGCTTTGGACAGGTTGGAGCTGCGTTTTTTGTTTCAGAACCGGACCCCACTTGCATGGCCCACGCCCCCCGAACACAGACCCTAATTGGCCTCTGCTGGTTGAGAAGATCCAGCCACGTCAGCCGGCTGCACTACCTGCATGCAGGCAGCAGGGCGCTTGGTGTACCAAATGCAACTCGCGCTCGAGAAGACGTGATTCGCGTCAAAGGACCCAACGCGCGACGCCTGATCTCATAAAGAAATTGACCATGCTGCACATGAAGCAACGCCTCCTCTGGCGTTGCTGGTGTGGCTTGCACAGGCACCGATGCCTGCACCGTCTGACCCACTGCAACAGAAAGACCACCCCTCACACACCAATTCCAAACTCTGGCAATAAAGGCCAACGCCTTAGGATAGCCGTCAATCGACCAAATACAGCACCCACTGTAAGGCCAAAGAATCGTTCAATATCCAGAGCAAAAAACGATCCTGCCTCTCTCACCAGGTCGGCTTCGCCCGCCGCAGCTTGCGCTACCTGGCGGCACACGATTTCAACAAGCTTACAACCACGCGTGCAAAGTTGCATTGTCCATGATGCCTTGAAGTGATGCAAACAGGAGTCGTTGCTTCAAACAGGTTGGGACTGCGTGCTTCACGTGAGAAACCTGACTGCACCCGATTGTGGACGACATCCAAAGGTCGCTTCGCCTCTTCTGCTGCTGGCTCTTCTCTTGACGGCGCCGATGGGGACGGTGCCTGCTGCTACTTCCGGCATTGAAACAGCAAGCAGCCGCACGACAATATGATGGCACATGATCCCGCTCCCCGCAAGGAGGCGGTTGCTTGTTCTGCCGGTTTGGACCGCGCGACCACTCAAGACCTCCACTTGAGCATCGCCCATGCCCCCCAAACACCGACACTACTTGGCCTCCGCTGTTTGAGAAGATCCAGCCACGTCAGCCGGTGGGACAACCTGCAGGCATGCAGCAGGGTGCTTGGTGTACCAAATGCAAATCGCGTGGAGACGTGATTTGCGGCAAACGACCCGACGCAACACCTGATCTCATACTGTCATTGACTAGGTCCTCCAGTACCTTTTTTTCTGTAGTCTATTTTAGTAGAGGAACCTCCCCCAAAAAAGGGGCGAGAAGGGCACTTAGCCGGGGGACCTGGTTGACCATGCTGCACACAAAGCGCAACGCCTCCTGCGTTGTGGCCGCAGGCGCCGGTGCCTGCCATGTCGCCATCCCTTCGGCCGTCTGAAGGCATCGGTGCAAGCCCTCGACCCGCAAAAACAAACGAAGGCTTCCTTCATCCATGCAAACCTCGGAAAGACCCGATCCTCACGTCATGTTGGGACTTTGTCTGGGCTGTCCGATGTAACGCTTCGACTTTTAGCGGCCTAAATTCGGAAACCCAACCACTAAACCAGCTGAAAAGCTACAGAGCTCAGGAACCAAAGGGATGACTGGGAGCAACCAAGCTTTTTCCATCTATTTTGACGAGGTTCCCCAGTAGAGAGGTTAGAACTTTGCTAGGCCGACTGGATGATCGGACCCCGGAAGAAACCGACATGGATTAGTTGGTACCCTGTTTTTCTGTAGTCTATTTTAGTAGGGGAACCCTCCCCCCAAAAAAAAGAAGCGGCTCCAAGGGCACGAATTGCTGGGGGACCTAGTTGAATGGGTCCCCCACGCAAAATCATTCCCATGCGGCCCTTCGTTGCCTGCGGCGATGGAGCCACCGATGCCTGCGGAGTCGTCGACACAAGAGGCGAAAAAGGTGCGGGGTGACTTTCATTTGCTTATGCCTCCTGAAAAAAAAAAAACGCTCCCTTGGTTCCAGTAGTGATAGGTTCCAGTAATGAAAATATGTCCAAGCAAAAAAATGTTTCAGTTCAAGTAGTGATAGACTCCCTTTCAAATCAACAGAGAAAATAACACATATAATCACACAAGTGGAAGGTGAACAAACTGAAGAATGCCACCCACTGCTGCCTTCCTTTTGAGCAACTGAAAACTCTATTGGCTATTTAGCAAATTGCCAAACATCTTGGTGCAGTACACCTCAAGCACACTAGGCGTTCAGTTGCATGTTGTTCAATCTAGAATTAGTTTCCTGCCTGGACCTCCGCGTTTGTTGCCTCATTCCAACAAGAGCGCAGCACCAGCAAGGCTTAATCAAACGAATCGAAGCAAGCACACAGTCCCCGTTTGTTGATGCCGTTTGGCTTGGGCCGCCTAGTACAAATTGAGCTTCTTGTTTGAGTCTTCCGAATGGCAAAGATGTGGGGTGCGTGACATGGATCCCACGTTGTAGCAAGGCCGAAAACAATACAACAGCCCATGCATCCTGCAATCAAGTTACGAGGGTTGCTACAAACATGCTGGCGCAAGCAATGTGGTCCCTGAAGCCAACAAAAAGAAAAACATGTAGCCCTTGTTTCTCATTTGTTGGGAATTGCATATCAAACGGGTTCCGAACACCTACTTTACAAGGGGATTACTGACAGGCACAATCTTCTTTGAGTGCATATCGTTTTACATGGTCTTCGCGACCTCACTAATCAGCTTATCAGCTTGTTCTTCACTGGTGATTTGGATTGGTGGTTTGGAGGTTATAGGTAGTTTCCCATCTCAACAAGATCCAGGGCTCAAATCTCACCACGAATGCAAACCCTCAACTAAGGGTTACCTGGTGTGGGTCAAAATTAGGAGGGTACGCAGGTGTTGGTCCATGTTTCCACTTCCCAGGGCAAACCATTTTGGGTACCTATTTTTGACCCACAGCCACCTGACAAAACACAGAAACAAAAAAGACATCCTCGCGGCGCTCTACCCGGGGTTCCAAGCTGCCTCCAGCTGCGCAGCCTGCCGGAGTAAGGAACTCACGCAACCAAAGCAGCACGCACCGAAGACAACCAGCACCACCCATTTTAGAACCTATTTTAGTGGGGATTGGGATGTTCACTGGGGGTACGGGATTTTGACCCATGGCCATATAGGGTGTTATCTAGGGCTTGACTCCTTGTCCATTCTTTTCAGCCATCGTTCTTTTCAAAAAACCGGATCCGTTTCCCCTGAATGTTTCATGGTTTCCTGCAAAGAAGGATCCCTGGAAAGAGGGAAGGTACCCCTAGAATAATTTAGGTAAGTGGTTCCCTACTTGCATCCCATGTCCGACTGCCACAGTACCTCCCATGACATCAGCCCTCTCAGACTCCTGGCTGGCTTAGTATGACTCTCGCGCATGTGATAAACCTGCCTTTCTGGCATGCCAACCTAGGCCATGATGACTATGTCTATGCACTTTGCCTTTTTATGGAGGAACTCCCTCGGTATCTGAACTGGGTCCTCCAGAAGGGAGGCTGGAATAAGGGTGCCCTTTTTTTTCTGTAGCCTATTTTAGCAGGGGAACCTCCCCCAAAAAAGGGTAAAAGGGCACTAGTGGGGGACCTAGTTAATGAACGCGGACCCAATGCGAAACTTGGCGGCTTGGGGGGGACCTTCCTCGAAGGCAGCATTAGACTCCAAGTCGGCAGGGTGTTTTGGGTGTAAAGGACGGGCCCCCAACGTGTTCTTGGCATCCACTCTACGTACAACTCTTGGTTGGTAGAAAACAAAAACTGGTTTTTGCGCAGCCCCCCCCCCCCCCCGTAAAAATGAACAGAACCAAACAATAAAAAAACAAAAACCATGCCAAGAACAGTGAAGTGGTCCATACTTGGGGGTTGATCCACATGTCCTTTACATCGGGACGATGAACTGGACGCCCATGCCAAGCGATTGATTCTCCGGTCCCGACCCCACAGTGGCCATGGGCAAGAGGGCTCCCCTCTGAGTGTCTGGGCTCCTTTCCTTCGCGTGGGCCCAAGGCCGGGAAGCGATATGGCCATGGGTCAAAAGCCCGTACCCCCAGTCAACATTCTAATCCCAACTGAAATAGACCAAATTGGGTGGTGTACAGGTCTACACGAAAACGGTACCATTGGTTTTGACCCACTGCCATATCCCATAGGCAGGGCCCTTGGAAAGCTGCAAACAATGTCCCTTCGGAAGATCTAAGCCCTTCAATGCATCAGGCGTCAGCTGTCTCAACCAATCGCCGTCTTCTCACTCCAAGCTCAAAGTTTTCAGCTCAAAGCATGACAACTTCTCTGATAGGCCTTTTCCAGTTTGTTTACAGGTCCCCGAGCTTCTCAAGAAAGCGGGAACTATCCCCCTTACCTGAAGGATGTTCCAGGTGGTTCACCTTGGACTTCAAAAACGATACAACTTGTTTCTACAGTTCGCTCACCCCGAAAATATAGCTGCGGGTCAAACATACTGTGGATGGACGAAATCCTGCACCATGTAAGAAACCCTAGAATGATGGCTCCCCTGTAAATACCAAACAAAGAGTGGTTTCCCATAGTTTCAAAGTGGCGCCGGATTTTGTCCATCCACAGTAGGTAGCCCATATGGAACCCTTAAAAATGGAACATGGAGCAAAACCTGCGGTCCATGTCCTGGTTAAGCTTGACCCATATCCATATGGTTCACCCGAAAATATGTTCAGAGTTTTGGAGGACCCCGAAAAGAGGACACTTTGTGGTTTGCCTTACCAAGCCCCTGAAAAGCCCGCCTGCAGAGTAGACCACACCTGCGCATGCGAGCATGCGAGTGCTCTGGCTGCAAGTGCAACTGCTTAAAACTGCTGGTTTTAAAGGGGAACCCCCTCTTTTGGGTGGTTGTTGAAGGGAAATTGATCCTTGTGGGTGGTTGAAGGGAACTTGAGTTTGCAGGTAGCCTAGTGCTAGCTTTGGGAAGGGGGCTCAATTTGGGCCACGTCCCAATAGGAGATTTGTTCTTTTTGTCCCAAGCTATCTGGAACCCGGTCTGGTTGGATCTTACCACTAAGCAGTATGTTCAGTTGAGAACCTGAATCCGCAATTTCTGCCACAACCTGAAGTTAGAATTGGATCCGCATGGACTGTCATGGTGAGCTCATGTTGCCGGCTCGCAATAGACAGACCCACCATGCGGGAGCCCTCCATGCTTGGGCACCCTCCTTTGGACACCTAGATGCTCTTGATTCACAGACAGACCCGTGGATCTCCAATTTGATTGTAAAGGGGCAAATCCCGAACCAGGCCACCTTGGTTGCTGCTGACGCCGCAAAAAGAGTAGCTTTGTGTGGTTCCAATGTCACGCTCGCGGTATGCGCAGGGGCAAAATGGAAAGCCAAGGCACAGGTCGAAAGGGAGGACCGGATCCTACGGAAAATCCGACCTCTTCCCAAACAGATCAAAAACAGGTCCACAGATCCGTTGCCAAATGGGTACGGCTCAAAAAACCGGTACCAAAATGGAACCCTGGTATATAAATGGAAACATGGACCAAAACCTGCGTAACCCTAGCTCTTTAATCGCAATACAATAAAGCAACACGGGCTTGGAGTCTGGGATATTTTCTAGCCGCCCTCTCTGGAGAACCCCTGATGGATGGCCTGGACGCATGCCTCCGCACAGGACCTCGCCAGCACCTGCGAAAAGGAAAGCAGACATCTTCAGCTATCCTAGGTCCTCCAGATTTGAGAAGTTAGAATAAGGGTACCATTTGTTTTCTTCTTTGGTCTATTTTAGTAGGGGAACCCTCCCAAAAAAAAAGGGAGAGAGAAGGGCACTACTGGGGGACTTAGTATCAGTATCTTTTGCTTTTAGCATGGTTGCATCACGACTTGCTGAATTCCTCCTGGTTTCCCTAAATGAAACAAAGGTCTGTTCACCATGTGAAGAACCCCCCCCCACACATGGGCATACATGGGGATAACATGCTTGGCCCGGCTGTAAGTAAAGCATAGTTGGTGGCGGAAGAGGAATACTACGCTGGATGAAATGCTTGGGACAATTCAGATAAAATCAGACATCCTCTGAGTGACAGCGATAGGCTCAAAAACCAAAACGAAGACACACCATTTGAGATGGGAAGCAAAGACACTATGTCGGTTGTTTTTGCCCAGAAGAGGCTTGTTTCCAAATGGGGTATGCCATCTTGCGGAGAACTCAAGCAACAGAGAGCAACTTTAGAGAGGACGGACTGAAAGCTGGTACCGCTTGCCGGAAGTGCATGAGCCAGCTCCACACAAGTCCTCTGTGCCGGTAGGTATTGTCCCCCTCGCTTGCGAACCAGGAACATCGAAATTGCAATCTAACGGGCAATCATGCGTCCGGGCAATATGTAACGGCAGCAGGTGGGAAACCAGTCAGGAATGTCGAACTAGCAAGTTTAAACAAACGGCAACGTCCCCAACTTTTAGGAATCATCCACGTGAGCATTGCTTTTTTAGAGGTTCAGGGCTTATACACTGCTGGGGAGGCTACGCGGGGGTCTTCGCAGGCCCAAAATTCGTGGAAGGCTAACAATGACAAACACCTACCAACCACGACGCCTCTTCAAGACCGAAGGAGAGGCGAGTGCCGATGAAAAGCACCAGGTTTTTGCAGTTTGGCTCGTCTCGGAAAGAGGCTCAGGCCCACCTTTGGGGCCGCAGGAGCTGTCCAAGTTGTCAAAACTGCCGTTTGGTGCTTCGCGCTGATTGAATCGGGCAAGTAGCGCCCCCAAAATGAGGCTTTCAATTTACCTTGGGTGTTCCATTCATGGGACACTGGCAACATCTAAAACGAGTCCCGTGTTTTGGAGGCTCAATCCCAAAATTTCAACACCAGCACTCTGGGTGCGTCGGTTTTGAGGGCATCCTTTCTGGATGGCTTCCAAAGGACCACTAAAAGCAAACCACACCTTGTGAGGGCCAAGCTACAGACACACCCTATATGCTTCCATTTGCTTAAGCTCCCTGGAAAAAATGTCCAGTAGTGAAATCGATTCCCTTAACCAAGGGCAAGATATAAAAATATGCATTTCAGCAAATGGAATGGGATCCCTTTCCCGAGGGACGTGACCAAAAGCATCTGCCTGAGCGTTGGCCAGCAGGAGCCGCGTGATCTCCTTCTCCACCTGCCGCGGGGAAATTGATGATGACGTTCCTCGTATTTTGTGGTGAAGCCCTCGCTCAAGGGGGAAAAAAAACAAAGAAGCAGTGCCTTGGAGCCCAAGGCCTCGGGAAATTTCGAGGCCTTTGGGGGTTGAAAGGCCTCATGCTTGGGTATTGGTCTCGTCGTTGAAAGGTCTCGGTCAAACTCAATCCGGTTGGGTTCAAGTGATTCCCTAGGATATTCACAGTGGCGACAGTGGCGACGGGGGGGGCTGGGCCTCACTGGGACAAGGAAGACTAGGGCGACTAAAAATCAGTCGGCACTGGGCTTCCCTCGAATTGGTGGTTTGGATTAAGGTGGTTTGGAGCCGCGTGCTTTGGTGGTGAAACGGAGGGCTTTCCCATTTTACCCTCTTCAAGAACCAGGGTTCGAATCACAAGTCAAAGGGAAAAGCAACGGTCCCTAGGAACCCACGGCCTCTTGATTTGAGGCCTTTGGGGGGTTGAAAGCCCTCATATTTAGGGTATTGGTCTCCTAGGGCTCTGTGTTTTGCTGACCTTGGCCAACACAAGTCCAGGAACGTGTTCGTTTTTTGCCAGTGATGATCTTCCCAAAAAAGTAGAAAGTCCAGGAAACCAGGGAGTGAGTTGAGGGTATCCCTTTTCAGCTTGGTTTACACAAAGGGAACCCAAAAGAAAAACGCAACCATTTTGGGAGGTCCGATGACACAAACCATGCCTAGGTAGATACCTTCTACCAGCCGCTGTTTGTTGCCCGCAGTTTCCAAGGTAGGAAAAGGCTATTTTGAGAGGCTTGATAAAGAAGGACCTGGGGTCTTTTTCTAAAATCCCCAGAGAACAACGTGAAGGCCACGTCCCCAAAATGTGCACAGAATCAACCCGCCCTCCAAACCTGCGTGCGTGTGTTTATGTGTGTGTGTGTTTGTTCGTTTGTTCGTGTTTGTTGCTGTGTTGTGCTCTTGTTTGATTGAGTTTTTCCTGGTTTGTTTTTTGTTTGATTGTTTGCTCGTTTGCTTGTTTGCTTGTTTGCTTGGTTGTTTGGTTGTTTGTTTGTTTGTTCGTTCGTTTGTTTGTGTGTTTGTTCATGTGTTTGTTTGTTTGATAGGCGGCTAGTTAGTTAGTTAATTGTTTTGTTAATATGTTTAGTTAATTGCTTGTTAAATAGATAGATAGTTGGTTAGTTAGTTAGTTAGTTAGTTGGTTAGCTAGATATTTAGTTAGTTAGTTAGCTAGCTAGCTAGTTAGTTACTTAGTTGTCCAGTTAGTTAGTTAATTTGCTTGCTTGCTTGTTTGTTTGTTTGTTTGTTTGCTTGCTTGTTTGTTTGTTTGATTGTTTGTTTGTTTTGTTGTTTGTCATTGTTTGTTAGCTAGATACTTAGTTGGTTAGTGAATTTGCTTGTTGATTGATTGATTGATTGATTGATTGATTGATTGATTGATTGATTGATTGATTGATTGATTGATTGATTGATTGATTGATTGCTTGTTTGTTTGTTTGTGATGGTTTGATTGGTTTTGCTTGTTTGCTTGATTGTGTGTCTTTGTTTGTTTGTTTGATTGATTGATTGTTTGTTTGTTTGTTTCTGTGTTTCTGTGTTTCTGCTTGTGTTTGTGCTTGTGTTTCGTTTGTGTTTGTGTGTGCGCTGAGGGTCCTCACATGCCAAGCTCTTAGACCTTACATGCCAATGGCTTGTCTCTTAGCATCTGGCATGTTCACCCCTCACCAACTGGCAGCCCTCAAATCGCTTCAAATCTCAGAGGGACACTCAAGGTGATGACATGACTCAAAGCCACTTGAAACAGACGAGACAAGAGTCTGGAGTTTCTACGTGACGTTGACAGCTCTTGACCCAGTTCTTCGGCCATGGAGTAGTCCAAGGGTAGCCTGTTGAAACCGCGGTGCTTTGGCACAAAATAGCCAACCTTTGCTATGCATTAGTTTTCAAGTGGGACAACAGCCTGGCCGGCACGGTGGATATAAAACCAAATGTACATGTCCACAGAAGCTCCCCGACTAAGTTCATACTCGTCCCTGTTTGAAGGTAACCTAAACTATGGTTTGTCTTTATTCCCTGGGGAGTGACGTTAAAAAATGTAGAATCATTACAGCGGTCAGTTTGAGTCCAGGTGGTTTCCCTTTGAGCCGCCATGTCTACAGCTCAATTTTGAGGACTGCACTTCCAAAGGGACCCAGTTTGAAAGAAGCGGAATTGCTTTAAGCAAGTTTTAAGGAACTCGCCTGGGGTAAGACGAGCTCATGACAAAGGTCCTTTACTGGACGATTCCGCATTCTCGGTTTGTGAATCATAGCCGCTTGGAAACCAAGGTCGCCAAGGCCCCTTTTGCAAGGGAAGCTGATGTGAGCGGAGTGGCGCGACCTGTGCACTGCTATGCTAACACGGCTCAAGGCTCGACAGTGTCAAAGATTGGCGCGCTTCTGTTTGGTATTCCCGTTTCCTGAAAAATCAAAAAACAAAAAAACACAACAACATGGGGTTCGTCTCAAAATAGGGTTGCCACCCCCCCAAGAAAGGCCCCCCAACAAATCAAGCACCCCCCACCACAAGACAAACCCAGCCGCATGTTCCTCAGGCCCTGCGCCTTCGCCACCAGCTCAGGGGACGCCTCAGTCGCGAAATTCAGGCTCTGAACTCTGAACTTTGAAGTCTAAAGACAATTACAAAGTGATCCCTCCTAAAAACAAATAAAAGTGATGCCTGGAAGAAATCGATGATATGATGATCTGTTCGTTTTGGCTTCCAAAACGAAAACATAGAAGCAAATAAGATGGCCACCGTTTGGCCATGGGTCAAAATCCAAATCGTACCCCCAGTGAACATCAACCAATCCCCACTAAAATGTAAAGCCTAAAATGGGTGGTGAATTCACCTACCCCACATGGTACCATTGGTTTTGACCACAGCCATTTCAGCACCCCGAGCTGTTGAGTTACTGTCAGCCCAAGGGCAAGCGCCAGAGTGAGGCCCTGAGCCACGACAGGCGAAGCGCGAGGAAAGCTGATTGAAAGGGGCAGGGTACGTCTGGCAAGTCCTTAGCTACCCATTCAAATGGATATCACCCATAACTTACGACAATGATATATATATATATATATATATATTATGTACATGCGTACTTCCATTTGCTTTTTCGCCCCGGTGAAAAATATAAAACATATATTTCCAGTAGTAATAGATTCCCATTTGCAGCATCTGCAAAAAAGCTTTACCACACCTGTCACATCTTGTTTTGACCCTCAGGTTTTGGGGATTGATTTTCTATTATGTTCTACACACGTCCATTTGCTTTCTCGCCCCCGGGGAAAACATATATAAAATATAGTTCCAGTAGTGATCGATTCCCTTTAAAACCAAGAGGAAGATAAAACACCTTCTTAACCAAATGGAAGGGTACGTCTGGCAGGTGGCTAGTAAGCCTGGTCACAACCCACTTAAGAGACTCATAACCATGGTACCCACGAAACCATTGGCCTAGGAGTCTAACCCACTTAAGCGACTCCAAACCATGGCAAGTGGGTTGGGACCAGACTTACTACTCACTTTCCTGACCGCACCCTGCCCCTTTGAGGATCGCCTTCTCTTCTATCTAGCCACCAAACCATTGTCATACGCATCCAAGGAGTCCATTAGTTTCCGGGGATGTGTCTTTTTGATCCATGGCAACTCTAATCAAGGAGTGCGGAACTGGGGTCTTTGGAAACAAAAGGTCACAATCTATCCCATGTTCACTTGATGGAAAATGAACAGTAATATATTGCACCAAATGTAATCCCATTTGGACGACCTGGAAATGAGGGTTCATATGTTGCACCGAATTTGCTTGAAACACCAGCACCACAAATACTCCGTCCACATGCATGTGCGAAGACATTCTCCTTTGTCGAACCCTTTGTCAGCGTCCCATGCTGATTCTTCGCGGACTACCGGCTTGCCCTTGCGAAGCGTTGAGCGCCGCACACTTGGCACCGCCATGCGGGTCCACTGCAAGCGCCAAAGCGCACACGGGGACAGAGATGAGTTTCGTTTACCGCATCTTGGCTTCTGCAAAATCCATTTGGCCTCACTCGAAGGAATACCGCAAAACCGTGCGCTATGGCCATTTCCACCAGAACAAAGCAAAGCCATGCACGCAACTTGTGTCTGTGTGTATGTGTTCAGTGCAGTGTTGGTGTTCTTGTTTCGGCAGTGATTCTGAGCCCACAAGAAGCCTGGCAGGGCGACATGCGTGGGTACCCCCGTGCATGTGCCGGGAATGTGGGGGGGCGTTCCAAAATAGAAGACTCCAGCTGGCGTCCAATGCTGTCACTGGAAGATCGGAATCCCAATCTTAGCCGGTCAGTGGACGTCATGAAATGAACAACTCTGGCACCCGGCAAACTGCCAAGTTGCAAGCCCCAGAATGCGTTCTGACGCATTGAGAGTCAATCACCAACAGCGAGCTCCGCTTCCTCTCGTAGAGCCCAATAAACTCCAGATGTGTCCACAGGGTGTACCCGAGCTCACAGATCAGTCGTGCTGCCTCCAACTCAGCCAGAAAACCTGGGAGGTAGCTCCCAACGACAACATGCTGCAATTCTGAAGTTAGGGCAAACAGGCAGGAGGCACTCAACGAGCGAAAATGGCTTCCCCTTTGAGTAGTTGTATTTGATCCTCCCCCCGAAAATAATCAATCACTCCTTGTTGCTGTTGACCCCTCTGCAAAAAGTTTAACTTTTTGTGGGCTTAGTGGAAATCCCCTTGATTTCCAAAAAAGTTAAAGTCTAAAGATCCAACCCAATAGCAGTCAAGAATTCGTGTCAAGTGGTAAACTTGAGCGGACCTTCTCAACATGGAAGAGACATGCGTGCAAAGAAGCCCGGGTCCCCACTCTCGCTCTCACTCATGACGAGAGCCACCTAGACCCTGCCCATGAAGGCCGACATTCTTGCAATCCACGGTATGGTGTCAGCGCTCGTCTATGCCCTGAGACACAACTAAACACCTTGGCATCTGGCTGTGGGTCAAAAATAGGTGCTCAAAATGGAACCCTGGTAAATGGAAACATGGACTAAAATATGCGGACCCCTGGAGGTTTAATTGTGACCCATACCAATCTACAGAACTCAAAGTTAACCCAGGCGCAGCCCAAGCCGGGAATTCGTGGGTGATTTGGGTCCAACTCAGGGCAGCGAAGAAGCTGCTTTTTCAGGCGAGCAAATGTCTGGAGGATCTGGAGAACCCTCCAACATGGCGCTGTCGATCGCGCCATTAAACATTTTCACATTGAGTCGCCCCCCATACATTGGCCCACATCTGGGTACACAGAAAACATCGAACCTATTCTGTACTGCCTCTGTTCCACATGTACTTTTCTCTAAACTATATTCAATAATTTGGAGAAGACTCCAAATATCACGGTGAACAAGGTATGGGTCATCACTGCCAGCAGCCCGACACACACACAGACACACACAAACGTTACATCTTGTTTGGCCCTCTAAGCACATGGTCTCACCGCGTCGATGGAGGCTTTCACCCAAAGATTGACGCAGGAGCCACTCAAATAAAGCAATTGGCCCCGGCACCAAGCCCACAGGGATTGCAGCAGGAGTGCTCCGAGTTAAGAGCTCGAAGAATGCGCCTTTTTGTGTCCACTCCCTTTGCAGTGTGAGTGTGTAAATGTTGTTTGATCATTTGCATGTTGGTGGGTCTTGATTGTCTTGCTTGTCCGTCTGTCTGTCTGTCTCTCTGTCTGGTTGGTCGGTCGGTTGGTTGCTTGTTGGTTGTTTGGTTGCTTGGTTGCCTACTTGCTTGCTTGCCTGCTTGCTTGGTCGTCTGTCCGTCTGTCCGTCTGTCCGTCTGTCTGTCTGTCTGTTCCCTGCTTTGGTAAAGGTTGTCCCGTGTGGCTTAGACAACAACAATTTTGAGCATGTCGTCTCGTGTCAGTGCCCTTGACTGATTGTTTTTTTTTTGGGGGGGTGGGTGGGAGCCAAAGGTTGTTTACCCCCATTTACGGCTGGTAATTGGTACGCATGGATCAAACTTTCGGTGTGCTGGCAGTCTTGCAAATCTCTTTTAGTGATCACGAGCAACAGTTCTCTCCAATAACAATGGATGTTGGTAAGTCATGATAGCTTCAATTCTGTGGCCACATGCTGGTGTAAAGCATGTATATATATATATATACACCATAATCACCGTTGACCATTCTTGCTCGCGTATTTGTTTGTCTGGTCTACCTCACACATTTTCACATGTGCCTTCAAGCAACGGATCAAGTTGTCAATCAATACCTGATTTGGTGGACTTGGGGTCTACGTGCTTACACGCTTTCTCCAACAGAGCAAACAAAAAGCTGCATGCAGAGTCACCTCTGGGACCGTGGGACCCCGTTTCGGCTTTTGCCCTACCGCTTAACCTGGCACCTGACGTTTCGGTGTGTCCTGGGTTTGACCCATTTCCTTTTAAAGGGACCGGGTCTCGTACGTCAGGTTCCATGTTGGGAGGGTAAATGGAATTCGAGCAGTCTCAAAGGTCCCCTTGAGCAACGAGACACTTTTTCTATGCGGGTCGCTTTCCCTTTCAAAGGGGCGGCAAAACCGCGCGACATTTGGACTAGAGTTCTCCTTTACAACACTCCCTTCGGTTAGTGCCAGCTGAACTTTTCACACGCTGGAAACGATCACGACACATTGCCAAGCTTTGGCGCCAGAAAAACGCCAAACTCAACTGGTAAGCGTTGTGTTGCCCCTAGAGGTAAAACCGACATGCAAGCGTAAGGTGTGGCGCCAGAAAAGAAGCCAAAGTCACCCTACGGTAAAATGGCCATGATGCAAAATCTGGAGGTGAGCCATGGCTGCTTGCCTAATAACTGGAAGCACTGGAATGCGGAGCCTCAAACGTTTAACTTTTTGGGGTTTAGTGGAAAGCCCCTTGATTTCCCAAAAAGTTCTAGTCTACAGATCCAACCCAATAGCCAAGCGGAATCCGGAGCCTCCCTGCCCTTGGCGGAAACCGAGCGCGACATGCCCTCAGCTGGTTCCGCCGCCGTACTTCACGCCACGTGGCCGAAGCCTCGGGCTTCGAAACCCACAGCCCCGGTGGTGTGAAGCATACGGTGGATGGCTGCGAAATCACATTTCGCAACCTAAGAACCCCTAGAATGATGGCTCTGCAAATAGAAACCCCTAGAACCCCTAGAAATCCCATTTCGCAACCACCGTTCAGAACCCCTAGAATGATGGCTCTGCAAATAGAAACCCCTAGAACCCCTAGAAATCCCATTTCGCAACCACCGTTCAGAACCCCTAGAATGATGGCTCTGCAAATAGAAACCCCTAGAACCCCTAGAAATCCCATTTCGCAACCACCGTTCAGAACCCCTAGAATGATGGCTCTGCAAATAGAAACCCCTAGAACCCCGTTCAGAACCCCTAGAATGATGGCTCTGCAAATAGAAACCCCTAGAACCCCTAGAAATCCCATTTCGCAACCACCGTTCAGAACCCCTAGAATGATGGCTCTGCAAATAGAAACCCCTAGAACCCCTAGAAATCCCATTTCGCAACCACCGTTCAGAACCCTAGAATGATGGCTCTGCAAATAGAAACCCCTAGAACCCTAGAAATCCCATTTCGCAACCACCGTTCAGAACCCCTAGAATGATGGCTCTGCAAATAGAAACCCCTAGAACCCCTAGAAATCCCATTTCGCAACCACCGTTCAGAACCCCTAGAATGATGGCTCTGCAACAGAAACCCCTAGAACCCCTAGAAATCCCATTTCGCAACCACCGTTCAGAACCCTAGAATGATGGCTCTGCAAATAGAAACCCTAGAACCCCAGAAATCCCATTTCGCAACCACCGTTCAGAACCCCCTAGAATGATGGCTCTGCAAATAGAAACCCCTAGAACCCCTAGAAATCCCATTTCGCAACCACCGCTCAGAACCCTAGAATGATGGCTCTGCAAATAGAAACCCCTAGAACCCCTAGAAATCCCATCTGCAAATAGAAACCCTAGAAGACCTAGTCCCAGCAACCACCGTTCAGAACCCCTAGAATGATGGCTCTGCAAATAAAAACCCCTAGAACCCCTAGAAATCCCATTTCGCAACCACCGTTCAGAACCCCTAGAATGATGGCTCTGCAAATAGAAACCCCTAGAACCCCTAGAAATCCCATTTCCGTTCAGAACCACTGCGAACCCCTAGAAATCCCATTTCCGCAGAGAACCCCTAGAATGATGGCTCTGCAAATAGAAACCCCCTAGAACCCCTAGCAACCACCGTTCAGAACCCCCAGAAATCCCCTAGAACCCCTAGAAATCCCATTTCGCAACCACCGTTCAGAACCCCTAGAATGATGGCTCTGCAAATAGAAACCCTAGAACCCCTAGAAATCATTTCGCAACCACCGTTCAGAACCCCTAGAATGATGGCTCTGCAAATAGAAACCCCTAGAACCCCTAGAAATCCCATTTCGCAACCACCGTTCAGAACCCCTAGAATGATGGCTCTGCAAATAGAAACCCTAGAACCCCTAGAAATCCCATTTCGCAACCACCGTTCAGAACCCCTAGAATGATGGCTCTGAAAAAACAAAACCCTAGAACCCTAGAAATCCCATTTCGCAACCACCGTTCAGAACCCCTAGAATGATGGCTCTGCAAATAGAAACCCCTAGAACCCTGAAATCATTTCGCAGAACCCTAGAATGATGGCTCTGCAAATAGAACCCCCTAGAACCCCTAGAACTCCTAGCAAACAGAACCCCAGAATGATGGCTCTGCAAATAGAAACCTAGAAATCCCATTTCGCAACCACCGTTCAGAACCCCAGAATGATGGCTCTGCAAATAGAAACCCTAGAACCCCTAGAAATCCCATTTCGCAACCACCGTTCAGAACCCCTAGAATGATGGCTCTGCAAATAGAAACCCCTAGAACCCCTAGAAATCCCATTTCGCAACCACCGTTCAGAACCCCTAGAATGATGGCTCTGCAAATAGAAACCCCTAGAACCCCTAGAAATAGAAATCCCATTTCGCAACCACCGTTCAGAACCCCTAGAATGATGGCTCTGCAAATAGAAACCCCTAGAACCCCTAGAAATCCCATTTCGCAACCACCGTTCAGAACCCCTAGAATGATGGCTCTGCAAATAGAAACCCCTAGAACCCCTAGAAATCCCATTTCGCAACCACCTCAGAACCCCTAGAATGATGGCTCTGCAAATAGAAATTTCCCGCAACCACCGTTCAGAACCCCTAGAATGATGGCTCCCCTGTAAATAGCAACACAAAATGGCTTCAACCATGGCTTCAATGTGGCGCGAAATGGATTGTGCCCATTAACGGTATGGCCAGGGTGGGGCGCAGCTGCTTGGCTGCTTGATGCTGAAAAACATATCAACACCTCTTTTCGGCTCCCCTGCTGGGTTTTACCCTGGCGTTAACTAACTTCGCCCTTGGGAAACGTGGCTCAGACTCCACAGACTTGATCATGGCGATCCAGGCGAGGTTTGGTCCATTCACCGAATGCTTTCTCTCATAGCGTCACGGTTTGTCGAGCGTTCGACCATCCAAATGACAAGAAACCAATGGGGTCAATGAACGGGCGAACTGGAGGCTTGCCACAGGCTTGAGCCCAGAGCACCCAGAAGTACAAGGTGAAATCAGCTTTTGGGGCCATGAGAAAAAATGGGCCAAAAAGGGAAAACAAAAAGGTCGGCTTTGAACAGCCGAGAAGTTGCGGCCAGTGCAAGAAAAGGACTGGGTGGTCCGTTTTCAGATCCCTGGCTAAAAGTGACTAACTTTTAGTGGGTACAATGGAAACCCTAAACCCCACCAAATCCTAAAAGGCTAGCGCTAGCTAAGGAACGGGACTGGGAGCCACCAAGATGAG